GCTAAACAAATATACTACTGTTTTGAAATTCCATCTTGTGCTTTGAAATTATATAGTTCTGGCTGAAATCCATGCTGTCTTAAACATATACTACTGTTTTGAAATTCCATCTTGTGCTTTGAAATTATATAGTTCTGGCTGAAATCCATGCTGTGTTAAACATATACTACTGTTTTGAAATTACATCTTGTGCTTTGAAATTACATAGCTCCAGTTGAAATCCATGCTGTGTCAAACATATACCACTGTTTTGAAATTACATCTTGTGCTTTGAAAGTATGTAGCTCCGGCTGAAATCCAGGCAGTGTTAAACATATACTACTGTTTTGAAATTACATCTTGTGCTTTGAAAGTATGTAGCTCCAGTTGAAATGCAGGCAGTGTTAAACATATACTACTGTTTTGAAATTAAGTCTTTTGCTTTGAAATTATATAGCTCCGGCTGAAAAACGCTGTTTTGAAAATAAACTGCTGTGCTGAAATTACATCTTGTGCTTTGAAATTATATAGATCTGGCTGAAAACCATGCTGTGGTGAAAATATATTACTGTTCTGAAATTACATCTTGTGCTTTGAAATTATATAGCTCCGGCTGAAATCCAGGCTGTGTTCAATATATTTCACTATTTTGAAATTACATCTTGTGTTTTGAAATTATATAGCTCCGGCTGAAAACCATGCAGTGTTAAAAATATACTACTGTTTTGAAATTACATCTTGTGCTTTGAAATTATATAGTTCCGGCTGAAATCCATGCTGTGTTAAACATATACTTCTGTTTTGAAATTACATCTTTTGCTTTGAAATTATATAGCTCCGGCTGAAATCCAGGCTGTGTTTAATATATTTCACTGTTTTGAAATTACATCTTGTGCGTTGAAATTATATAGTTCCGGTAAAATCCATGCTGTGTCAAACATATACTATTGGTTTGAAATTACATCTTGTGCTTTGAAATTATATAGTTCTGGCTGAAATCCATGCTGTGTTAAACATATACTACAGTTTTGAAAATACATCTTGTGCTTTGAAATTACATAGCTCCAGTTGAAATTCATGCTGTGTTTAACATATACCACTGTTTTGAAATTACATCTTGTGCTTTAAAAGTATGTAGCTCCGGCTGAAATCCAGGCAGTGTTAAACATATACTACTGTTTTGAAATTCCATCTTGTGCTTTGAAATATGTAATTTCTGGTTGAAATCCAGTCTGTGCTAAACACATATACTACTGTTTTGAAATTCCATCTTGTGTTTTGAAATTATATAGTTCCGGCTGATATCCAAGCTGTTTTAGACATATACTACTGTTTTGAAATTCCATCTTGTGCTTTGAAATTATATAGTTCTGGCTGAAATCCATGCTGTGTTAAACATATACCACTGTTTTGAAATAACGTCTTGTGCTTTGAAAGTAAATAGCTCCGGCTGAAATCCAGGCTGTGTAGAAAATATAGTACTGTTTTGAGATTCCATCTTGTGTTTTGAAATTATATAGCTCCGGCTGATATCCAAGCTGTTTTAAACATATACTACTGTTTTGAAATCACATCTTGTGCTTTGAAATTAAATAGCTCCGGCTGAAATCCATGCTGTGTCAAACATATACTATTGGTTTGAAATTACATCTTGTGTTTTGAAATTATATACATAGCTCCGGCTGAAAACCATGCAGTGTTAAAAATATACTACTGTTTTGAAATTCCATCTTGTGCTTTGAAATTATATAGTTCCGGCTGAAATCCATGCTGTGTTAAACATATACTACTGTTTTGAGATTCGATCTTGTGTTTTGAAGTTATATAGCTCCGGCTGATATCCAAGCTGTTTTAAACATTTTGAAATTTTGATCAAGATGTTTTGAAATTACATCTTGTGCTTTGAAATTACATAGCTCCAGTTGAAATCCAGTCTGTGCTAAACACATATACTACTGTTTTAAAATTCCATCTTGTGCTTTGAAATTATATAGTTCTGGCTGAAATCCATGCTGTCTTAAACATATACTACTGTTTTGAAATTCCATCTTGTGCTTTGAAATTATATAGTTCTGGCTGAAATCCATGCTGTGTTAAAAATATACTACTGTTTTGAAATTACATCTTGTGCTTTGAAATTATATAGTTCCGGCTGAAATCCATGCTGTGTTAAACATATACTTCTGTTCTGAAATTACATCTTTTGCTTTGAAATTATATAGCTCCGGCTGAAATCCAGGCTGTGTTGAAAATATAGTACTGTTTTGAGATTCCATCTTGTGTTTTGAAATTATATAGCTCCGGCTGAAAACCATGCAGTGTTAAAAATATACTACTGTTTTGAAATTACATCTTGTGCTTTGAAATTATATAGTTCCGGCTGAAATCCATGCTGTTTAAACATATACTTCTGTTCTAAATACATCTTATTGCTTGAAATTATATAGCTCCGGCTGAAATTTTCCAGGCTGTGTTTAATATATTTCACTGTTTTTGAAATTACATCTTGTGGCGTTGAAATTGTATTAGTTCTATTGTATAATTAAAATAAGACTGAAAAGTTTT